ACTGCACTAATGAAACTTAGAAGTCCAAACAAATGAAGTATCACTTCATTGCCAAAATGATTCTGTCATAGACTCTTTGACTTTCACCCCAGAGTTTACTCATCTCTGAACATGAACTGATAAACGTTCATCCTGTACTATGCAGAATATTCAATTGTGGAAGTTTAAAGGCCTGTATCCTGTTCTTGGTTGGTTTTATAGGTCTTTATGCAATTTTTCCATGTCATAAACATATTTCAGTATGAAGTTGATTCTGTAAAACAAAACATTTATCGTTTCGAGCTGGATCTTTGAAACACGCCTTCAAAAAACTCGGTTTGAACAGTTCACTGCTTATAGTAATAATTGCTTACACTTATGCTGTATAGCGCTTTTCTGGACACTCCGCTCAAAGCACTTTACACCTAATGGGGACTCCCCTCCACCACCACTAGTGTGGAGCCCCACCTGGATAATGTTGATTTATATCACCAACAGCAGTGTAATAAACTTCCAGACTGATCTCAGAAGATAAGCAAGGCAGGACCTGGTCAAGGATGGGGAAACAGGAAAGAAAAACAGTTTGCTGCTGTGGTGGTATATGTGGACCAGTAGGTGAAACTGTTCCCACTCTAACAGAATTTCCGAACCAGTACCCCGATATGGTGACCTGGGGGACACTGTGCTGTTGGAGGTGCCGTCCTACTGATGAGAGATTAAACTGAGGTCCTGACTGCTTGGTCAATAACAATCCCACAGGACTCTTCACTTCGCCATTATTGAATCAGTGAAGCAATTTCTCTCTTGTTTACCTGATCTGCTGTGACGTGTAGCTGCAGGTGCAGAATGACTGGGATGCCACACTTCAGTGGTGGATGTGAAGTGCTTTGGGATCCTTTGGGACAAAGCACACGTCATAGATGCAATTAATTATGACATGTATTTTATCATTTTCACAGGTTTAAGTGGGCATAAAGTGACAAGATAAAACAGTACCTGAAGTTCTGCATTGTATGGTCGGATTATCCCTGTTGTAAAAGAGACCGATTTATTTTAAGGTGAGCTTAATAAAAGCAGAATCAGACTGACGTTTCAAAAGCTCCTCCCAGGAAAAGGTCATACCAGCGGCGCTGTCGCAAACACGCACGTTTTGGAGAGCATTTTTGCCTCTGTTGAAATCATCGCACCTTGAGGTGGATCCCTGCCGCACGCATTCTCTCTGAAATCCCTTGTGAAGCACAAAAGCTCTCATTACCAACAGAAGGGGTCTGTTCCTTCCACCTCCAGGTTTTCCCAAGTTCTGTATCCCTGCTGCCCGTAATCCGGGCACCTCTTCCTTGAGCTTGTCATTGCCCTCAATGGCTATGGGGTTCAATAGCTGTCAGGCAGCTCCACCTCTTGTGCACTTGTTTTCTCTCAGCCCTGAGGCTATTGATGATGGCATTGAGGTTTCCTAATGCGAACCTCCCAAACGCAATCGTTAGCTGCCTTTTGTAACTCACTGTAAATCCCCACCCCCCACCCCTGGGCTCCTAACCTACAGCTTGTCAGTCGAATGACTTAAGCCTGTTGGCTTTGGGCTCCTCGGACTGCTGGTGAAATAGCTCTGCTTAAGGAGCTTAGTGATTTGGAATCTGAATGGGCCATGGAGGGGGTTCCAGATCAGGTCAAGCAAACTCCAGATGCATATTTTGAAACAGCCAGCCCCAAAGTGGAATGATGTTTTATAGTTCCTTTTATACAGGGAAAGCCTTTGGAAAACAATAGCATAGCTGCAATGGCAATTCTTCTGTTGGGCATGAAACAGTTATGGGCTTACTATCTTTTTATTACTGTATGGATTAAACAAGATCAAAACTGTAATAATTCATTCCCAGCCCCATTAATCTCATGAATTGATGGGTTTTTCTAAGCCTTTCTGAGCTATCAACTTTAAAATGATGTCACATTTTCTTTTTCTTTTTTTAAAACACGCTCCTTACACACCGCCTGCTTTTTTTTTTTCACTTGATTTTCCAGTTTATTTTTTTTTAATCTCCTGTTTTGCGTTCACATATTTTTAATCTATAATCTTTCAACTCTAAAAGGTCCGGAAGGTCTGTCAGGACAAAGACAAAAATAGCCGTTGGAAACAAAAATATTCTCAGTCTGTTCGGTGTCTGTATTATGCTTTAATTACAGAATATATATATATATCGTTTTCTGCTGTTCTGTGCTTTCTGCCCATTCAACTCAAGAGCCTCCTCTCTGACACTGTTGAGGAGTGGGTTAATTGGCTGTCTCCCTGGGCCACCATAAATTACAAAATGTTGTTTCCACAGGCCTGGGAGACCTAGCTGTTCCTAGTAAAGAGCGATAAGTTGTTTGAATTCATCCCCGAACAAGGTTATCTTGTCCTTCCTTCAGTTCTCTTCAAACAAAAGCCCTTGACGTTCTCAGACAAGAAAGGCCTACACATTCTTATCCCTCTGCTGCACTTTGATGGAGTCAGTCTGCACTTTTCACGGAGAGCTTCACTCTAACCTTCCCACTTCTACAAATATATTCAATCAGCCTCAGACTGTGCCCCTCCTCTTGGCCAGATACACCAGTACACCCCAAGCATTCTCCTTTTTTTCCAGGTTTGTATACAAATACAAATGAAAGGGAATTTACTCTGGCAGTGAACTGCAGCAGGGCTCAGTTTTCGTACGGCACACCTTAGCTTCTCACGTCTCGTGTCAGTGACAGCTCATTTTTTGTCAAGTGACAGAAAAGCCGCCTTGGGACAGCAAACACCTGGGGGAAAAACCCAGCTGCTGCTCTTCTCCAATTACTGAAAAGAGTTACCCTTTTAATTTCTTCTGTTGAGGCAGAATTAATAGGACCTGTGGTTTCTGAGGGAAAGTAGTTATGTTTCAGGTATTCCGAATGCAACACGACCACAGTGCTTTTGTATATTAACTATGCCTTGCGCTACGCGTATTCTTTGAAAATATTTTTTTTTTGCCATTAGCTACAGAATTTTATACACATAACCTGAAGCTACAATGAAACAAAAATAAATTCAACTTTATATTTTAACCTGAGTTTAGAGTTTTATAATAACATCCTATGAAACTGTCATAATTCCAGCACATTAACACTCTGAGAAAGTGAGAATTTGTCATTGCACAGCATGTACTCTAAAACCTAAAAAAAACTAAAAAGCAGCTCCCTTTGAATTCAGCCTATTAATTGTTTCCCCAATTAGACAAGTTTAGTAAGAATTTGTGTAATGCTGAAACAACAGGGAAACATTCAATTTCTTTCCAACGCTTGTAGAGGCTTGTTTTATACTAAAAATAAAGTGAGGTCTGATCACAATATTTAGTGAAAAAGTCTAAATTAAAAAACTTGAAAACTATGGTTTGAAATTGGCGTGTCATTCTGAAGTGTTGGGGGCCCTGTAACAACAGAATGTTGATGCCAGCCTTTCTTTTGACATGTGGGTTTGGCTACCAGGAGGCTATTGCTAAGGATACAGTGGCTATCAAAAGTATTCACCCCCTTGTGCTTTTTCACATTTTATTTTATTACAGGAAGGAACCGTAATGTATTTAATTGGGATTTTTTGCTCTTGATCGGTATTAAACACTTTATAATGTCAAAGTGAAAACAAAATTGAACAAATCCTCCTAAACTGATTGGAAACATAAACCAGAAATTAGAAAACACAGAAAGCAGTCCAGACATGCTAAGCCTTTGCCATTTCTTATTCTGTGTTTGACAATGCTTTTAAGCTTTGACACACAAGTATCAAGTATACACAAGTATTTGTGTACAGCATGGTGCTAGGATGTCACAGTGCCTGACCCATTATGCACACTCTGAAATACTAAGAAAATTTCATTAAAAGTGTGCAGCCAGGCACAGTAACAATTTGTACTGACTAATGGTCAAAAGAGTTGAATATTTGCATTGCAGCGAAGTAAGAGGGATGAATTAATACGTGATTTGTAAAAACTGTGTTTCACACGGGATCCATATAAGTAGGCATGGCTTCATCTTTGAAGTGTTGCTGATTATAGTTATTGATGGATCCATTCATGCCGCAATTTGCTTTACCATGACATCATACTTCAAGAACCTTGATGTATGATTTGAAAGGATACAGGTTGACAATTTATGAACAACACCAGGGAAGAGTACAGTCTGCCCAGATAAACACCACAGACTAAAGACTGATAGGGTTACTGCAGACGTCTCATGATGTTATCTTCATGAATTCATCATCTTTTAACACTTTGCTTCAGATAATCAGTGCGGTGTGTGCTGCTCATGTTAACTATTTTTCTTTTTCAGTTCCCAGTCCAGCACTGCCACCCTTGAAAAGATTAAAAGCACACACATGTTCTCTAAAATGTGCACTGTGATGTAATTCTCTTTTAATTCTCTGTCTGGAAAATATGGCAGCATTTAGTCATGCTATTAGTGACTTTACAGCACTTGACTTTAAATTGAAAAGTAACTTTATAGAAAAACCTGTTCCTTACAAAGTGTTTTCAGAGCCAAAAGAGTGTTCCCATTTTCTGAGAACAGGCTTCAGAGAAGCTATTGCACTTCTGTGCCAAAGGAGAATACTGTCAAGGCAGGTTATACAAACTCAAAGTACTGTGAGAATATAATTAAGGTTACAAATGAGGGGAGGCCAAGCTGGGTGGCTTGTTCCAGACTCTAACCACCCAAGACTGGAGAAGAAAGGTGTCAATGTAGACTGGAATAATGCACAAGGAGGTCTCGGATAAGGGACTGATGCATGTGGGTTTCTGAACCCCCTTACAAGCATGTTGTACAAGCATTCTCCTAGACCATGTTTTGCCTGGGATTGGGGTTGGCAGCGGTGTAAATGACAAATTAGATTAAAATTCCATTTTAGGAGAAAGGTTTTCAATTTAATAATATATTATGGACTATTGCAGTGCGATACAGTGAGTGACACCCACCAATTGCATCAACCTCTGTCAGCTCTTTCAATAATAATATTGAAACTATATTTACAGTGGGACTTGAAACAGAATATCCACACCAAGCACCCGGAGTGGGGAGGGAAATGTTATTCCAGGTAAAGAAATTACTATTTAAAGCGATACTATTTAAAGCATGTTATATAAATCTGCTTCAGGCTCTATGAACAAGCAGTAACACAGACAAGATTACACAGACCACGTTGGACGATAGGCTGTTCTGAAAACTGTTATATAAAAGTCTATGGAACATGTGACGTCATGAACACTGATCGTGTTTTTTAATTTATTTTTCTGGAAAGGGCAATTGTTCAAATATAATTCATTTCCCTTGGCCACTGTGCTCTTCTTCATGGTTCGGGAAGGCTTACGAAAGGTGTACGTTTTTATACAGCACAATATTTCTAAAAAACTTTTTTGGGATTAATTTTTCCAGTTTTTCGAATGGCCCGTTGTTTTTGTTGCTGATTTGGAAGAGCCAGTGGTCTATTTTCGTGAAGCCTGTGACTGCACACGGGAGATCAAGGAGGACCAGGCAGACTCCCCCAAGCCACCTACCTTCAAGCTAATGGTGTTTAACACATGACATGGAGTCTTGTTCAGGATGTTCAGTGTTGATTGGAGGAGAGGCAAGGCCCTTACCAACAGCAGCATGTGCCTGCAAGTGCCCGGGCGGCCACAGGGGGCGCTGTGCCACTGAGAAACGAGGCAGCTCTGATGGACTAATCCCCCTCTACCTGTTAGTGCCATGAGGCCAGCTCGCAAAACCTTTGTTTTGTTAACTTTTTCAATCTTTATAATGATTTATGCCATTGCAGCTGCATGCTTAATTGTAATAGCCTGATAACGGGGCTCAAAGACTGAGCTCTGGGCCTGAGTCATGTCATGAGCTGAATGCAACAGGGATTTCCTAGGCATTGCCACTGAGGGCAGGATAGGGATAAGTTGGAAAGCACCATCTCGCGTCCTGGTGACACAGTGACAAATTCTCAGGTGCTGGCAGGCTTTTGGTGCTTTTGCGAGGAAATTCCATCCATCTTTCCATCCATTTTCTAACTACTTTATCCAAAACAAGGTCGAAGGGGAGCCAGAGACTATCTTGTCAAGCAATGGGTGCAAAGCAGGGTACACCTAGGATAGGATACCAGTTTATCGCAGAACACACACAAACACCAGGGTCAATTAACTACCGTGAGGAAACATGCACACTCCACACAGACAGCACCCCAGGTCTGGAATTTTACCCAGAGCTCTGGTGCTGCGAGACAGCAATGCTAACCACTGTGTTTAAAGGGATTGTTACCGGGAAATGTGTCTCTCTTCCCATTGGTGCTACACCTCCTGTATGGGGCTGAGTAGTCTGTCATATCTTAAAACACCAAAGTGTGGTTTCAGGGTTCGAAGCTGTGAGTAAAATTGTGAGAACTCACAAAACTAGCAATCGCACCTTCAGGTGGATATATATATATAAAATAACAGTGGAAAAATGTTAAATTAAGTAAATTAATAACACATACCGAGCATCAAAGAAACTGCTTTTCACAAAGTTGTTACAAGGAAAATCACAAAGCTTTTTTTGTCACAGGTGCGCTAACATTTCATTGCATGTGCATGAGTGGATCTATACAGAGTTATACAGGGGTTATACAGAGACACATCACAGACTTGTCCCATGTGGCCAGCGCTGGAAGCAGTACAAATACAAGCTGTATATCTATGATGCCTGCTTTGCACGAGGACATGGTTACTGTATTCTGGGCTCCTGCCCCATTTCTCTTGTAGATCTTTGATAAACATTGCCTCTAGAGCCGAGTTTGTCCCACAGATGTTCAATGGGGCTCAAGGGTAGAGAGCAAGGCTTTACTATCACGCTGTCATCTCAAAAGCTATTTCTCTTTTTGACCCCTTTTGCTCATATTAAGAAATACATTACATACATACATTAATGAAATAACAGATGGCTTCACAAATGCCAATTGCGGCCTTCGGTTTGTAGAAGCTGGCAAGAATGCAAGAAACAAACTCTACTGCTAAGGCCATTTTTTTATAGATCTGGAATCTGTTTCGCAAAGCATATTTTCAAGATCCTATATGGCTAGGTTTTATGTCTGACATTAGAAATCCAAGCACTGCCCAGAAGACAAAGCCATCCACTGTGTTAATGTTTTTCTGTTGGCCGGCTCGCAACTGCAATAACCTTTTGGAAGAGCCTTGACATTTGGGATTCGTTATTTATATCTTGATAGAAATATAGTGCATTTTAATTGTAAGCAGCCTTGGGCTCTATGAAGGAGTGAGGGTGCCAAGCGCAGGGTGGAGGTACCCTTAGCTCTTGTGGTTTGGTGCAGTATGAATTGCTTCATGCGAACAGCACGCTAACTGAACACATCCGTGTGCAGTTAGGTAACCATAACACATTTTCTTTTGACAGCAGGAAATCGAATGTTTCAGCTCAAAAATAAACCCGAGGTGCAGCCTGCTTTCAGTAGGACAGCTCCACAAAGCCTTTGATTTAGGGTTTTTTTTTTCCATTCGCAGATCTTTGATGCCAGCTCATCTCTCAAATTGACCTCAGTTGACTGGCGAAGCCGACAGCTCGCGCACTCACCAAGCCTGAAGGCTGCGGGCTCAGCTTTTTCCATCGCCTGACAGTCATGTGGCTTTTGTGCGCTGAGATCCTCTCGTCTTCAGGAAACTGCAGCGCGGGGCTCACATTTGCAGGTTGCACATTCGGAGTTGGGGTGTGTGTGTGTGGGGGGGTGTCTATGTTTTATGGGCTTCTCTGTATGTACTATGGCTTAGAGGAGAGATACAGAAACATAGACTAGTAAAAGAAAAACGATGTAATCAAGAGTATATAGTGTGTGGTGTTGAATGGTTTGCAAATTTACTCCAGGATTTACTGCCAGTATGTGCAGGGTTTAATTTCATCAGTGTGCAGCCTTAGCATGTGTCGGCTCACTTCAACAGGCCCTGTCTCACAACCGTCAGTGAAAGAGGTGCGAGAAACAGGAATACTGGATGCTTGGAGACAACGTGAAATCGAACACAAAACATATTGAAGAAATAAAGCCTGATATGTTTTTTTAATTCCTTTTGAGCTTTTATTTCACCCCTGCGCAGAAAGGTGAAACTGTCACTCAACGTAAACAAGGTAGATGGAGCCACAGGGTATTTACATTAGCGCCACTCTGAAAATGTGGCCCAATCATCCCATCCATCGATTTCCTAAACGCTTCTTCCAGTTTGGGGTCTGGTCTACCAGCCGGTCCTGGTAAGCACCTGGTGCAAACCGGTGCTGCCCCTAGCCCATTAATCAAGGTGTGGTATTTTTTATTTTATATTAATGCATCATAACTTTGTGCAAGTTGTTATGTGACTGAATAATAATAAAAGTACGAAGAAAAAAACAGAATGAAATGGTTGAAGCACGGCACCTTGCCCAGCTCCATCTTCCAGACCGACCATCAGATGTACACCAGATCTGAGTCCTCACCTTCGTCTACGAAATACATGTACTGAGAAATTAAATACACTACAAATGAGTGGAGAGACCCACAGTATGTGGTATGTTATTTGATGGGGCAGGTGGTGGCACTGTGGCTAAGGCTCTGCACCTATTGGCGGAAGATTGCTGGTTCAAATCCCATGGTTACCAGAGGGCTCCTACTCCATTAGGCCCCTGAGCAAGGCCCTTAACCCTGAGTGCTCCAGGGGTGCTGTACAATGGCTGATCCTGTGCTCTGACCCCAGGCTTCTCTCTCCCTGTCTGTGTCTCATGGAGAGCAAGCTGGGGTATGTGAAAATACTAATTCCTAATGCAAGAAATTGTAAATGGCTAATAAATTGATCTTTCTCTCTCTAAATGTCAGTATATAACTCCAGTGTCTTATTTAGTTGCTATTTTCCTTTGGTCAGAATTTTATCTTCATAAATCTACCTAAAAAAAAACGTATGACTAACAAACTAATCAGGAGCGAATGCTCTCTAAAGTCCCAGGGGCTATCACCTTAAGATAACTTAGATAATCTCATCAGTTACCTAATATTATTGTTTCTGTTGATTAATACGATACAGTATATTTGAAGCTCGTAGCTTCAGTATTGTGTGCCACTTAAAAAAAAAAACACTGTACATCACATATTTGTGATTTTTGTCTCGGGGGATGTTTTTTTCCCTTAGGATTTGTTAGACACAGTTTAGTGCTTTGTATACACAATGTCTGTTTCCCAGAGCAAGTACCATCTGGTCTCACAGATCCATCAGCTTTCAGAGACGTGAGTGATAAATTGAAGCTCCAGAAAGTGATGCCATTATTTCCTTCGGTTTTGCCCTGATTGGGGCTCATTAGTGCAGTGCAGCCATGTCTGGACTGTGCTCTTGTTATTTTGTTCTCCATTTCAGCCAGCAGCTTCAGTCATTGCTAAGGTTGACAACACCCGATAGGTTGTCACTAGGCATGAATGATCAAGCCAGGTCATTCTCAAAGAGGTCCCTCTCCACTTTAGTAGCAAAACTCACATGTTTAAATATTAATTAATCATGAGCAAATATATAACTAAACACACTACATACATGCACACTATCATACTACTAAGTGTTATTATTTTTTTGTTTAAGCTTCTTTTTTTACTTATCCTGCAGTAGGTTGATGAGAGAAGGACATTCAACATATCTTGCAATTTTGGTAGTTAAATAGCTAAATCTAACTTTTTCTAAGGAGCCCAGGCTTTAGAACTCAACTGCAATATTGGAATTCCTGGTCCATTCACCACAGCTGGCTTTCCACTTTTAGTTTGTAATTGCCACTCTGTGTCCTTGTTTCACTGAATGTGAAAGAGCGTGACCTGGGTTGGACCTTCATGAGCATCTTGGAATTTCACATACTTTCATCTTTTTATATAATTTCATCACTTGTCACGATTGTCTGAGCCCAGGAACCTTTCTTTTTGCTGTTTTTTATATTCTATCTAAAGCCATAATCAGTTTTTTTGATATGGTGACCAAAATTGAACATACTATATGAAGTCTTACTATAGTGTTGTAACACTGGGAATAATTTTCCTTGTTAGTGCACGCACTTTGCTATATACCTAAGCATATAGGCACTACAGTATATATTAAATGAATAAATATTGTCATACTTCATTAATGTTTGGCCACCTGTTCTGATACTCTTTTACAGGAAAACTGCCAGTCAAGAGAAAATCCTAAAATACAATTAAATATTAAATTACAGTGCTTTACTTCCATCTTCTTCATTTCTGTCATGGGATTTTATATTTCTATATATAATTGAATTTTGATATTACAGTAATTGCCATTAATGGTTTTTATAATTGCAAGTGATCTGAAGAATTCAAGCCATCGGCTTCTGTTTGTTTGTCCTTGACAAATCTCCACCAAAATATATGTAGATTTAATGGTGATTTACGTGCTAATATAAGTCATAATTACATAATTAAGTTTTACTATAACAACCTATCTATACATATAGTATGAACCATTCCAACTCTGTTGGAAAATATTATAGCTACAGTAGATCGTTCTAATATAGAATTGTATTTTTATATTCCTACGCATCAAACAAAAAAAGTAAAAAGGTTAATCATTGTTATGTTTAGGATTTGGTAATAACTACATAAAGCAATACTTACATAATTACAACAGCCTAAAACAAATTATCTGTTTCATGCAATCAGCAAAACAATATTTCATTAAGATAAAATGTTATTAAAATAATCAATTCTGGGAATGGAGGCCTTGTACAGTGCATTTAGACATTGGTCAAACATCTCCTCAAGCACAGAGCTCTAGACTCAACTCCATTTCTGTGCTGTTCTTAACCATTTTTTTCCAGGCTCACTCGGAATGCATCACTGCAGATGGATTACGGGACAGTTTGGAAAAGAGCTGACGACACAAAGTAAATTTTAAACTGTAGTTTCACCTCACTCCGATCAATCAGACCGACATTCAGGTTTCCTTTACAATAAATAGCCTTATTGTCAGAGAAGGAATCTTTACACGTTCTGAGAGCAGGGGCTGCTTGGTTTGCAGACAGAATTCTTATTGCAGTCGAGGTCTTTAATATAGTGAATTGTTGTGGTGTTATGTATCACACCCTCCTTAGGAGAGTAGTGTGAGTTATCCTCAGAAACTGTTGCTCCAGTTCACATTTAAAAAAAAATTAATTATTATTATTATAGATTTTATATCTCACTTTTCATTCCTAAAGATTGCATAGTATTTTGCATACTGTATATACTATAGAAATGTATCCACCTCAGCCCCCACTGAAATGCAACCTAGATATGCAGTAGGTGATTTCTGTGGCTGCCATTCTGTGCCAGCATACCCCACTGCACAGCAGATCAGGCAGAGAAGAGAGAAATTGCTTCAGCGGTTCAATTAAGGGGGAACGTTAGAAAGGCCAGACTGTTCTGGAATTTAATCGGGACATCGGGGGTTAACTCCCTTGCTCTTCTGAAAAGTGTCATGAGAACTTTAACTGCCAAGCAGGCAGGACCTCACTTTATCGTCTCATCTTCCAAGCTGTAACATTGGTAAACCTTGAAATCTTATCTTGTTGATGACTCCTCAGCAAATGCAACAGAGCGTACAAAACTCCCTGTGTTTTATTACATTGTCCTTCTTTATTTTTTGGGGGGCCTGCTGATGCTTGAGGGCACTTGGTATTTGCCAAAAGGGCCAGATGGCATGTCCAGGCCTGGTGTTTACAGAAAACGAGGCTGTCACCTTGTCCACCCAGTTGTACATAATGCCCCCTGTCACAGCCAGAGCTCAGTGCATTATAAACGGCAAGCCCACGCACTCCTACAAACCCAGACCCTGTCTGACAGGGGACAGGCTTGGTAATCACTTTGCTTTGGGCAGAACTCCTGCTGGAATGATAAAGACTGTCTACTATACTCCATGTCACAAGCATTCCAGAATCTTCTTGATTGCTTGGTTCTTTCAGAACAAGTATTTTAGGAATGGGCTGGTGTGAATTAGGCCTTTGCGCACAACAATATTTTCTGAAATCTATGTCCTCCTGCAGCCAAGGGTTACTGTGCTTTCACAGTGTACAATTGATGTATTCCTTAGAGTTTGGGAATACCAGCCAGTGAAATGTGATAAATATTTGTTTTAAACAAAAAAAACTCCTTAGAATATACAGCAGTTAAATCATTTTTTTTCTTCCTTGCTTGTACCTAATTAGCTATATGCAATCTGTGGAATAACTAATTACCCAGCATAAAAGTAGGTCTCCTTTTGCTATTTAAAAACTAATAAAAATTCTCCATTTCTGAGGCAGGAGCATTGCCTGGAGTTGTTGCATTTATTAGCGAGCAATCGGTTTATCACCTTTTATGAGCCTCCCATTAATCTAAATTGTAGTTTATAATTAATTTCATTTTGGTTAGAAAACATTCTCAGCTAGATCTCCATATACAGTACAGTAACTAACTAAAGTATTGGCTGCCAGACTTGGTTTGTTTGATATCCATTTTCTTTTTAAGATCCAGCTATCGATTACTGGAAAACTATTACCTCCTGGTCAGGGACATTGTAAACCCGGAGCTAGACACCAATCTATCACAGGATATGCATTAGATAATTGTTTGTTCCAGGTGGTCAACTGAAAGGCATGCAAACTTCCCACAGAACGGTATCCAGGCTAGAATCAGACTCAGGATCTGGTTCGGTTGTATTCTTTTTACAATCCTCAATTCATACTTCTGCAGCCTGAGATGTGTGGGAGTCTGCTTTGCATGAAGGCAAGGACCTCTGATTTCTACTGTCCACCTTATGGAAATAAATGTGCGCATCTTCAGCGTGCTAAGAAAATCAAAGCAATTATTTTTAGAGTTTTGGACCGCAGTTTGCATAGTTTTTTAAAGCACACTGGGGCCATGTTCACAGCATGCTGATTTTCCATTTCTAGTAAGATGACAGCATAATTAAATTGAAAAGTATCACATAAATCTTTCTAATGGCTTATTTAAGAGGACCTATTGGCCGTCTTAACTTTCATATTGATTTTGTAATATTGGCAACTCATCTAATCTGCATCAGGCAGATTTAGTAAACCTAATGTAGCTGAAAGTGCTTACATACAGTACAGTACCTTCAGTATTAGAGGTGATAAATGCCTCTCAGGTATTGTGGAAATAGTGGAGAATGTTTGACAGGCCATAAAACTAAATAAAGCCAGACAATGCCAGCCACTTCAATTAACTAGGAGCCTGCAGGGGTTTACAGACTTGATCTGGGACTTGCACTTGTAAATGAGTTTTGCCACATTGGAGGCTGAGATTGGAAGTGATTTGGATGATTGTATTTTTAACACTTCATTCTACGAATGTGCTGCAAAGGATTTTTCCAAGGTTGTCCTTATTGTTTCTTTAGCTTGTTACGTTTTAAAGGCCATACATTTGTTTCTGGCTCTAGTTGGCATTAGAACGTGTTTTAATAATGAGTGATCAATTATTTGTCAACTGAAATGTGCCTGTTTTAAAATCTTCTGTCAATTATGCCACACAAACTAGGATTGTGAAGGTACTATAATCAGACAAGCTTTGTTTACAATTTGGTTTAAAGGATGCCCATCTGTTTGGCAGCCAACGGCTGATGTAGCCCAGTAGCCTGTCTGAGGGAGTATTTTGAGAATAGTTCTGTAATAATGTTAGTGTCTTTTTGATAAGAGAGATGCAAGTGAATATATGATCTCTATTT